GAAAATACGAAATTACAAGGAAAAAAGAGAAGTCTCCCTGCAAGCACGCTCCTCCAAAGCCATCCATCCCCAGAAGATCCATGATGGACAACACCATATTTGGAAGAGAAAAGCCCAGAAAATGGACTTGCTGCAGAGACAAGCCCAACCCTGAAGACCCTGMTCCTTCCAGTCACGAGGACCTACACTGGGACACATCCCATTTCCCATCAGGATAACTGGTTTCCATTCCCTCCCAGCCAGTCCTCCACCAAGCCAAGGTCTACCAAACCATCCCTATCTTCCAGCCCCTTGTACATTCCCTCCCCTCCTTTCCCTTGAAGACATTAAGTTTCTGGAAGCAATTTAATTTTGAGCTACAGCGAGGCTTCCTCGGACAGCGTGGATTGAGCTGGAGGCCCTGCTCTCCCAAAATGTTTCACTTCCCCCCAGGGCAGCCACACCAGGGACCCTGCAGACTCTGCCTGGCTAYGAGAGAGAAGCATCACTTTTGCCTTCAAAGCCTTTCAACTGGAAGGGAAAAAAAAMCCCAGTAATAACAAATATCAAAGCACAGGCTTCCTCCCCTTTGAAGGGCARGAGGGAGAGCAGCCGGGCGAGGGCTGGACCTGCCGAAAGCTGAGCGGGGACCCGGATCCTGCAGGGCTGGAGCACGAGAGCCACTTTCCTGATGAGCTTTCGCAGCAGCAGAATGATGCCTTAGGTGCAAGAATTGCATTGAAATTCAAATCGGGGTGTTGAACTCTCTCCTGCGCCTTGGGAAACCTCCTTGGTGGAAACACAGGATAAGGAGGAGGGCAGGATTTGATACCCGGGGGAAGGCTGGGGGGGAAGGAAAGCAAGCTGCCCCATCCTGCTGTGAGAAACATTTGAATCAAGGGGCCCTGAGCTTGCCAGTGTACCCCTCTGAAAGCTCTGCCCCACACCCTAAAAACCCCAGCACCKCATGCAGTGTGCCTGCCCCTCTTCTCCCCACGCTGAACCTGGTGGGATTTTACTTGGGGCGTGGGGAAGAGAAGGGAGGGAGGGTGGAAGAAAAAGAAACCCCATATCATAATTGCTATATTAAAGAGAAATAGCAGGCAAGAATAATAAGAGAGGTGTCAGAAGTGAAATACAGTAACAGACATTAAAAAAAAAAAAAGACTACAGTTCTGCGATGGGGGTGTTAATTGAACACAGAGCTGGAGAGAACAAAGGGGTGTTAAGGAAGAGAAGAAGGGGAAAAATCCTACCTCCTCCAAAGATCTGATTTGAGTTAAGTTTGGTGAAGATAATGCACAGGGAAAGGTAGCTAAGAGGCACCTTATATAGCTATTATGTTCTAAAATTAAGAAAAAAAAAAAGACAACAAACCCATTATTCAACAACAATTGTACGGCTAATCAGTGCTGTCTATAAATATTCCACTTTGTAAATCCCCCCATTGGTGCAATGTACGTTTTTCTTTTAATACTGAATTCCTTCAACGCAGGAGGGAGAGGAGTATAAGAAAATAAAAATTGTGGGATTTCAAATGCAAAGCCCAGGGTCTTTTTAAGAAGTAGAATTTGCCCGATGCCCTCACCTCCCCCAAATGAGCAGAGAAAGTGAAACGATGGGAAAAGCTCTTAAGGAGGAGGAATCAGATTAAATGGTCATATATCCTGWGCTCAGCCTCTCCCCGCCGGTCCCTGCCGAACGAGATGGGAGTTGGGAAAGGCTCACAGCTGAAATAGATGCTGCTGCATTTTGACAGCAGATATTTTCCAGTTTGCCATCCAAGGACCCCACGTCTGCGTACGCCTTGCCTGATTCTTCTGCTTAGCTATTCTGCTCATGCAGAGAACAGCTTAAAAAAAAAAAAAAAACCAAGAGAGGGGAAAAAAACAAGGAAAAAAAACCAGCCATAAAGACAGAGCCCCTACCCCTGCCTTCAAACTTTTTATAAATCAGCAATGCAATTTCCGATTTCAATCCCTATTGACGGAGGAATCAATTGTATTTAGGACAACAATGCCTCCCATTTCCATAATTATTATTCCAAAAAGCCAGCCAGCCATTTGAAGGCAGTCCTGCCCCTTCCCTCGCAACAAAGCGACCAACAGCAAGTGAAAACACACCAAATGAACGCCGACAACTTCGATGTATATTTAAGCAGCAATTCTTTCCTCCCCTACATACTCCTGTTTGTATCAGACCTCTCAACTTTTATTACTTTTAAACAGACATCACCCCAAAAGCAGCAATCTTCAGGCTGCAGATAAAAGACAACTCACTGAGCTTTTTTTTTTAAAAATCATTATTATTTTTTAAAGTGCTAATAAAATATTTTAAAATAATTAAAGAGCCTAAATGCAAAAGGGAACTCCTTGACCAGTAGAGATGACCTATTTTTCTAAGAACTTTATGGACACTTTGGGTTTGCTYAAGACAAGGTTAAGGCTATGAAATAGTAGCCATAATGTTGCGAGAGATGGTGGTAAAGTCTCCGTAAGGCTCTGGAGTCACTTAAATCAGGCAGCGGGGTAACCGAACGCACATTTCTGCACATCATAACGCCGGGGGGAAGATGTACGCACGCACTTTCAAACACCCACCAGTGACCACAAACAATCACCAGGATTTCAAACGCCACACATGCAAAAATCTGGGAAGCTAAATGGAAAGTGGGAAGCAAGAAGTTGGCTCAACTTTCCACGCTGCTGCCCGCAAGGAAGGGGTAAGCAAACAGAYGCAGGCAGTACCCTCGGCCCCAGAAAAAACAAGGCAAACTTCCTCCTAGCATTGGGCCCACAAAGCAATAATTAAAAAAAATAATAAAAATAAACCAAAACCATCTGGCTGTTTGCTTTCTTATGAAGTGTGACTTTTGGGGACACAGATGGGGGAGAGGGGAGGAGGTCTTTGAATTTGCAAAGTGAAAGAATTCACCGCAAACATATCCAAGGGTAGATAAACAACGCTCCAAAAGCCATCTCGATTCAACCTCTTTGGAGACCCCCAGAGCACAGCCCTATGGCCAGTAACCCAAGCACAACAGCAACAAACAGCATGTAAAAAAATATAAAACAGCCCCAGTTTCACACCTGAATATCCCTATTTCCAGCACCATGCTTTGCCCTATACCATCTCTTTCCATTTTCCTCAGCAGACAGGAATTATCCCACATCGTCACTGTGGGTACACAGTTCCTCATCCCTCCCCAGCTCATCAGGACCTCACAGCATCCCTGAGCTCACCTGGATTTTTCCCATCAAGTTTGGTCCCAGCAGATTCCCTGTCCCCTAACTTTGCGACTGTGCTGATAGCGAAGCTGAGCTGGGATTAAAGAGTTACCCTGCCAAAAAGCAGGCAACATACGCAGCATAAAATACAGCGTCAAACACACATGGAGAAAGGACMGACAAACGTTCCTCGGCTCACACAAAATAAAAGGAGAAGGAGAGAAAAAGAAAAGGAACTTGGTGGCTTTTTTGTGGAGGTGYGCAGGAGAACGCTATAAAACCCTGAACATTTATCTCCACATAGACTCTCTCATGTTACAGCTTAAGAACTGTTTGGAGGTTCTTCCCATATCAAACCCACTGTTGGTTATTATGGGAAGTCTGTAAGGAAGGATTGCTCGGGAAGGTCAGAGGCGGCCCCGCAGCCGGGAGGACTTCGGAGAGCCGAATGCCATCGGTAGGTGCTTTGTCTGGGCTACACGCTGCACAAACAACGCTTAACAAAGGGCCCTCTTAGTCATTTTATATATATTGCAAGAGTCAAGTAATTGTATTTTCAATCAGCTGCTCACACTGGGAGGTTTTATATATATTCTTATATATATTTATTTAAGAATTGGGAAAAAAAAATAAGACCCAATTCAGGTTTGTGAAAGCTGTTCCCCTTTTATGTGTAACTATCAATGTGTATCAACTGTGTGTGCAATCATATTTATTGTCACTTTCATTCATGTCATGCCCTTGCTTATATGGCTTAGATATGAATTATTGACTGTTTCAGTCCTTGTTGTAAAGAGGGGGGAAGGGGGGGGAAAAGTCAAGTACTTTGCARTGCGCTAAAACAAGGCAGCTACACCGGCATGGGAAAGCCCATGGATCAACTCTGGTCAGCTCAAAAAGCCAACAGGAGAGATGAACCACCCCCCCAAATTTCCATTATTCCCCCATTTTCTTTCTAATTAAAAAAAAAAAAAAATAGAGAGATTCCAACAAATACATAAATAAGTGGTGCATGTTGCTAAATGTCCTTCCCTGAGCATCTGTTGTTTAAGATCACCCTTGATTGATGACTGCTATTTTTAATTGTTGCTTTTAAAATTTAAATGCCCCCCTGGGATGTGTTATAAGTGTGTTAGTACATGGTAGGAGGTCTGGAAAGTGGGAAACAGCAGAACCAACGCTCTCATGCCATTAGCTTCTAAAGAAGCCTGAGAACACCCCATGCCATAAAACAACAGTACCCTAAAGTAACTAACAATCTAATATATTGCTTTCACTAAAGGCAACTGACAACTTGCTCTTACATGAGCCAGCCTGGATGATTGGCAGACAAGAGCATTTTAACCCTTTCTTTGAAAAAAAGTAAGAAACCTTTGTGTTTACCTGAATACTTAATGGCAATAAAACGGCGCAATTTCATTTTGTTGCAATTACTTGCCCCACACACACTCTACATTCACATTTTGTTTTTTTAAACAGTGCCATGTCTTAGAGAAGAAACTACAGCAAGACACAAATTGCAAGGGGGTTGATTTCTTTTTTTCTCCCCAAAAGAAGCAATAAATAAAGAAGGGCTATACAATAGAAATTAAGCCACGATATTTTCTCTTCCAGACACAAACCACATCATGCAAGTCCACTGCCAAAAGCATTAAATACCAGCGAGTTATTTCTCCCCCTTAAATACTGCTGCATGGGGATGGGGGTGGGGGGGCACAAACTTGGTGGAATAAAACCCCCAAAGAAAAGAGCAAAAAGAAAAATAATACAGAACCGACAGTATTGATTTCCTACCTGTTTTTTCTTTGATTTCACACAAGACATTAAAAAGCGCTGGCTTCATCCTGTGGCAGTTTAAAGCATGTTTCCTGGAGAGAAAAGAAAAGAGGGGAGGGTGAGCTCAGGATGTCACCATGAGGAACAACTTTCCAAATTCATGCCGGCTGTGCATGCTGGAGGTTGGGGGTACAGTTTTGAGCCCCCTGTGCTGCAAACAACCACCTACCCAACACAGGGGAGATGTCACCGGTTTAGGAACGGCTCGAAAATTGCCTTTGCCACCGAGCAGCTCCAGGGCCRGCGCGAGCCAGGCGATGCTCCATGGCAAAGCCAGCGCATTTTGGGAGCCAAGCTCAGATCAACTGTCTTGTTCAACACAGACACTGGGCTTTCCCTGTCCCCCATCTCCAATATTACACCCGGCCATGTGCTTTATTAGGCTCGTCCTACAAGCCAGAGGGGAAATAAACTCCTCCTTGCCCCAGTGCTGGAAACATCCTCTGCTTAGAGCTGTCAATTCGGGCAATTTCAGTGCCCAGCTTGGAGTACAGAAAGATGCATGGAGAGAGAACCCCATTCCCTCTGCCWCCATGCTACTTACATCCAGCTTATTTGCAGGTGTTAAAATTTAATTCTTTACAATTGGGACAGTAAACACATTAAAAATCACAGCCGGCTGCTTCTGGGAAGRGGAGGGAACGCTATTCAACGCCGCTCCTTTCGGCTGCTGTTATTCCAGAGCTGACCRTTCTCCTGTGGGTTTTGAGGAGAGACTTTGGGGAGGGGGCGTTTTAATTGGCTGGTTTTAAACCCCAAGATGAGCCCGCTGAGGCAAAGGAGCAGTATGATTTAATTTTTTCTCTTTGAGCCGTAGGGTGGTTTAGCCAAGGGTTCAGTTGTACACAGGGCTGTTGCTATCAGGCGCCGGTTCCGGGGATTTCTGTTTACCAACCGAAATTACACGCGAAAGACGATGTGAACATCTGGCAAACATTCACACTACTCACCCCACCACCCACAACATGTTAAAAAGATTTATATATCTGATGAAGTCTCTCAAAGGTATATACCCTTGCAGAACCACAGCRTTCCCTTATCAGCACACCCAGATGGGCGCAGACATTTGGGTATACGCAAATCACGTACATATGCTGTAAGGGCCCTCTTACAAATAATGCTTGCACTTTGCACCTTCCCAAAACTTCATTTAAAAAGAAAAAAAGAAAAAGAAAAAAAAAAAAAAAAAAAGAGGCAGCAAAACAACCGTGCAATAGTTGGACGGAAGGAGGAAATGCAAAGCCAAAAATTATTGATAAATACAGCGTGTTTGCCAACTCCGAATTAAAAATAATACTAATGTACMAAAAAAAAAAAAAAACCCAAACCCAAAAAAAAGGAAAAAGAAAAAAAGTACTGTTAGGAAGCAATTGATACAGACCAGCAAGACAAACCCATAAAGCCTTCTTCTAGCTCTGTTGTGCTTTGGTTTTATTGATTTCATTAACTACCCTATATTATCCTGGCTGGGACACACACAATTCCTGCAACTTTGCAAAGGAAGAGCCCCTCACTGCCCCGGGTCTGGCCAGGGAGAAAGTGAACGATTTCCTCCTCCTCCTCACAGCTACTCTGCCCCTGCAAGAACATAAGAAAATGAGTAAGATCAGCCCTCCAACCAGYCTTTTTGGTAAGCAGGAGCTCTATAGAAGCTGTGGAGGCAGGGAGGATGAAAACTGAGATTTGGGGAGTACTTTTATCCTTCTGGAAGTTCTTAAGCGAGTTTTGGGGCTGCGCGGTGCGTTTTTCCAGGAACAATGTATTCTAGCAATCTGCTCCAACTCGGGGCATGAATATCAGGAGGAAGGACAACACACCAAGCAGCTCTGCAGCCCAGAAAAAATATCAAGTGTAACCCAGGCAATTCAGGGCAACTTTTTTGTTTTGATTCCTTCATTTGGGCATTTTTTTTCCCCTCCCTGAACTTTTGGTAGTGCCTTTGAAGGTGCGCATTAGGTTTGCACTCCCCGAAGCTCAAGGCAATTCAGACACCGGCTCCTACAGCCTTATTTTTCCTTTTTAAATACATCTGCAATTAAGAAACCCGGGGAGAAAAAAAAAAAAAAAAAAAAAAACAAAGATTCTATCAGCATCTCCAAGGCGCAGAAACACGCCGAAAAATAACACTACTACAGGGGCCTAAGAAAGAACATTATTAGCAGCCCTTAAAAGCGGGGCAGCACTTCGTGGCTTTTTCGGAGGAGCCCGGAGCGGAGCCCCCCGYACGCCCAGCTTGCCCCAACCATCGCTACCCTCCGTAGTTATCCCCCACCGCAAAAAGGCTGGGAAAAACCAGGCCCAGTTCGTGGATGGAGAGAGGAGGAGGCTGCGGGTGCGGCGACCCCTCGAAACCGCCACGAAGTTGGGAGGTGGGAGACAGATAGGAAATAAAAAGGGGGGGTATTAAACGGTCCCCTTTCTTTTCCCCCTCCCTCGCTACATTTCTCCGCAGCAGGAGCAGCGGGACCCCCGTCCCCCTATGCGCCCGCGGCCGAGCGCGCTCCCCCCGCCGGACAACAAAGGCCGGGCCGGGGCGCGGGGGAAACTTCCCGGCACCTGCCCCCCCGCTCCCCGCCGCTCTCACCTGGCCTGCGCCTCGTCCAAACTCTGGTCCGTGATGGTCATGATCTGCTGTAAGATGTCTCCGATGTCCTGCTTCCTGCCTGCCTCCCCCTCCGCCCCGCCTGGTCCATCCTGCATGTGCTGGGACAGGCCCGGGTGCCCCGGCATCCCCACCCCGCTGTGCGTGTGCATCAGCCGCGGCTGGTCATCCATCGCCGGCCGCCGGCCCCGCTCCGCCGCCGCCTCCTGCCCTGGCTGCCGGGAGCGGCGCGGCTGGGCTGGCCGCCTGGCTCCTCGCTTTCTTTTCTTGCTCGCTTTCTTCTTCTTCTTTCCTCCCCCCCTTCCTCCTCCTCCTCCTCCTCCTCCCCAGCCTCTTCCTCTTCGCTTTTTATTTATCCTTCACGCTGGCGCCCGGCTCCGCAGCGGGGAGGAAGAGGAGGAGGAGAAAAATGAAGGAGGGGGGGAAGAAAAAAAAAAGAGAGAGAAAAAAGAAAGGGGAAAAAATCCCTTTGGCTGCTGGAGGAGGAGGAGGAGGAGGAGGAGGAGGAGGGAGGGAGGG